GGGAGATGTTGTTTGTCCCCAGCTGCTGGGGCTCAGGAGATGTTGTTCGTCCTCATCCTTGAGATTCACTAGGCAAAGGTGGACAAGCAGAGTTGGCGTCTGAGTTAGTGAATGTGGTTAGTGGTGTTTCCCAGCCTCCTTTTGAGGAGCAAAGGGGAAAAAAAACCCACTCCCTTTTTCCATCGTCAAGCAGAGAAATCTTTTGTGCTGCCTCTTAAAGGGACTTTGAGTAACTGCTGAGAAATCCTCATCAGTTACATCACCTCCAAAACGGCTGCGGCAGGCACCTGACAGCTTTGTCCCACTGTTACTCTGGGGAATCATTATGCTCCAAATTCCTCGCCCTTGGAGAAAGCCTGCGTGGCTCGCTGGGAGGGAGGAGCCACTGCACAGTTTGTGATGCTGTGAGTGGCAGAACAGCATCAGGAATACAGGCTGAGGTTCCCAGTAGATGCGGTAAAGCAGGGGACACATCCTGGAGTTTCCTAACCTTATCCCATTGGCAAAGCTGGGTTCATGCAGGACCCAAGCATCTTTCTGGGAATGAGCTGAAGGCGCTGCAGTAGCATCGCCTCAGGCCGGAGAGCTGCCGTTGCCTGGCAGCTGCGGGTTTCCAGGGAAACCAGAGGTGCTAACTTGTTAATGAGCCCTGCGTCCCTGATTGCTGCTGCAAAATAATAATAATTAGTAATGGTCCTGTGATTTAGGAATCCCTCAAACAGCGTGAGCCAGCCAAGGGGAGTTTGCTAAGKGCTGAAGCACTTGAAAGAAATGAGGGGATGAGGAAGGAAAATGGGTGTGGGGCTTAGAAAAACTGCTGCGTTTTGCTTCTTAGTAAGTGATGGAGAGCTGGGGTCTGTGGGGTCCTGCCAGCATCCTAGCAGTTAGCCTGGGCAGGGCTGACATGGATGGATGGATGGATGGATGGATGGATGGATGGATGGATGGATGGATGGATGGATGGATGGATGGATGGATGGATGAGCCCTGGCCAGGCAGCATCTCAGTGCAGGGCTCAGAAGGCACAGCTTTTTCTGCCAGCCCCCAGGAGGAAAGCACTCCAGGAACCCACCACCAGTTTGGTGTAAGGAGTGGAAATGCAGGTTAGTGAGGTTTGGGTTTGCTGTAGAGACCTGGTACTCTTCCAGCTGATGTCTCCAGTAGAGGAACAACCAAATCTGTGCCCTTCTCATGCCACATCTCTCAGTGGGGACCTTGTGCAAGATGAGCAGTTGAGGGAAGTGGCCAACATGTGGGTGATCTCTGTTGGGCCAGCTCAGGGATGAGTTCCTGTGCTCTCTTGTGCCACATGGACAGACCCAGGCTGAGGTGTGTTCCAAGTTTTCTTGCCCTCTTGCCTGGCMTGCCCAGAAGGTCACAGCTAGGCTGAACACTTAGCCTGGCTTGCTGTGTACATCTCTGCCATGCCTGTGACTCGAGTGGCCAGCTCCCCTCACCTACACGCACATTTGTGGAGGTGGCACCAGGGGCAGAGTCCCATTGAGTAGGCAGCTGACCCAGCCCTGTGCTAATCTCTGCCCATCTTTCTGTCCCTCGGCTTCAGTGTGGCCTCTCCTGCTGGCTGTCCCCATTCAGCTAAGCCATGTGCCCATCTCCTCATTACAGGCTCTCCAGGGAGAGGTGGGATTAAAGGATTATGATAATGTTCTTCAGGAACACTCAGGAAGATTAAAATGGCTTTAATAAACTGATAAGAGAGGAACACAGCTATGTTTCTGAAACCCTAATTTAGGTTCCAGGTTAACCTTTTCCCCTGGTCTTCTCTCTTCTCTCCGGTGTTGAGAAGATCTCTTTAGCAGTGCTCCATGGCTCTTCTTCCTTCAGCTTTCCTTCTGAGCCATCTGAGCAGAAGCAGAAGCATCCTTCCTCCTTCTCTGGTCTTCCCAGGYATGGGGACATGACAGTTTTCATTCTTCTCAGAGCCCATCTCACACACAGCCTRTGAGGTACTGTGAAGGTCTCATAGCCTCTGCTGGCACCTGGGGATGAACTTACCACCCCTCACTCTGGATTCAAAATGTCCTGTGGTTGCTGTCAGGAAAGTTGTTTGTCTGCCTTTGACCTGGCTAAACATCTACAGAGAACTCCCCATGTCTCAGTTCTAATGCCAAGGTTACAGCTCCCTGTGACCACAGTGAGCTGGCCAACTCCATCCCCTGTAAAGGAAATGGGGAGAATGGACTAACCTTGCCCTGCCTTCCCCCACATCTTTTAGGTGGAGCTGGGAGTGGGACCTGTTTGTGTCACATGTGTCTACAGAGGTTAATCTGGTTGGCTCTGCAGGATGAGGGCTAATAGCGGATCTGGAGAACCTCTGTCTTCTCCAGTCTCTTCCACCCAAGCTTCTGGTCGTCTGCCAGAACTTCATGAAGGCCTCTTGTGCGTGGGTTTCTCTTAGAGTGATAAGGTGATCAGGAACTGTTATCTTTCCTAGACCCCTCTGTGTCTGAGACCCCCAAAGTTTACTCTTTGCTCTCTGTCTAAAGATTGGATACCATGTTATCTCCAGAGGAACTGTGCAATGTTGGGTCACTTCTTCCTTCCACTTCACCCATCCCTCTGCCACATTATCCTAGGGTTTTTTGTCTGTCAACTCTTTCTACTCCCTTTTATTTCTTGGATGTAATTGGAAGAGCCAAGAAGCATTCACAGCCTGGTGTCCTGATGGGTAAAGGGAGACAGAAAGTGATTTGGGGAGTGGGGTGTGAAAGGAAGACGAAGGGGRAAAGCTGGCTAATTTGCATCCTTTCTGAGTGCCCTGGCTCTATAGCCAAGGGACAGCAGGGGGGCTTCTGGCAAGGCGGTGGCAACGTAATGAGGTGTGTCATATCCCAGCAGGAGCCAGCCTCGCTCCCCCTCAGACCCCCTAATTAGAACTGTTTCAATTTTTAAGCCCCCCTGAGGAGAGCTGGGGGGAGCGAAGTTCCTGCAGCGGGGGGGGGGACTGCCTATCGCCCACTGAGGGAGCTGCTGTAATTGGAGTTGTGGCCAGGAGCCACGGAGCGCTCTGTGGGGCCGGGGACAGCGATGCCATAGTGCCATGGGGCTGCCAAAATGCTTCATGCCAGGAGGGGCTGTCACTATYGCAGCTTTTAGGGGATTTTTTTCTCTCCTGTAATTTGTATTAACACATTGGCAGAGGCAGCAGGGGTGTCATACAATGACAGAAAAGTACTGTACATCCTAATGTGGCCTCCTGTTGGAAGCTTGGATCCTGAGGCTGAAGGCTGGGACATCTCCTGCTTTGGGAGGCAGGTCTGGTAACCCAGGGAAGTTGGGGCTATTAATGCTGGAGTCACAAGCCAGAGCAAATGCTGGAACCCCCATCGTGATATTCTGTGGCTTTTCATCCTTTTCCTACAAGCTGGCAGTGTCCTCTGGGTTTGGTGACTGGTAACTGAGGTCCCTGTCATGTCACCCAGTAGTGTGTGTGACTCAAGCATCTCTTCTGTATTTTGAGCTACCATTGCAGTAGGTGCCTGCAGGTGCAAGAGCTTGTGGGAACTGCTAGCTTGCTTGGATCAGGGTGACTCGTTAAGCCTCCTTTAGTCCACGGACCAAATCCTGRTCCTGCAGAAGTCAATGAAAATCTTTACGCTGGCCTTTCCAGGCGCGTTATTCATAGTCCTCCTAATTCAGATGCATTAAAGCTTCCATGAGCAGCTTGTGGGTTCTCTCTAAAACACCGTCTGTCAGGAACCAGAGGAGCCTGGTAGTAGCCCAGGCTTATTTTCTGAATGACTGCAGTGGCATTAAACCTAATGCCATTAAAACATGCCTGCAATGACGTGTTCCATTAAAATTTAAGAGGACACCCTGAGCTGAATGCTGCCCAGCCTGTCTAGTGCACTTGCAGACCTCATGGGCTGGACATGGAGGAATCTTGTTCTTTACCTYGGAGTGCACCAGGTTTGACCCCCCCTCAACTCCTAAGATGGAAACACAGGGTATTTGTGTACAGGGTACTCCTGTGTAAGAACTCCCTTCCTATGTCTGTGCAAGTTAGATGCTGAAAAGCAGAAGGGTTTCCCAGGCCGTCTCAGTCCAAGCTTCCCAGCACCTCTGCCTTGATGCCTGGTATGTTTCTTGAAGACAGGAGTAATGGTCAGTGTGACTTCTTGTCTTCCAAGAGAAGTCATCTTCTCTTGACTTGCCAGGAGGCAAGCTGGCAAAGATACCTGTGAGCAGGCTCTGAAAGACAGGCAGGTGAAATCCAGTGTGAAGTGCTGAACATGAGTGAGCAAACCTGATTTGGTGGTGTKTCTGATGGGCCCCAACCAGGCTTTTACCATGCAGCAGCAGAACCTTAGAGCTGAGCTGAGCTACTTCTGTGAAACCATTAGCGCTGGGTTTGGCAGAGTTCAGAAAAAGCAAATTGAGTGCAAGGAGCTGTTGGTCTGGGAATAGGGAAAGGAGGTGACATCTTGCCCCGTACAGGTCCCTGATGTGCCTGCCTCTCAAACATGGCACATTGGGGCTGGCCAGCATGGCAAAAGGTGTCTGTCTGCGTAAATGGCAGCTCTGTAGATGCTTTGACCTGAAAAGCTCCTTAAATTAGGTCTAAATGTGGTAAGAACTGTGGAGAAGATTAGGGAGCAGGCATATATGGTCTTTTCTGGTGCAATTAATAAGGGTCACCCAGAGGAGCCATCACTTAGCAAATTTGGAGCAAACCAGGGGAAGGACTTCTTCAGTGTAATTGGCAACACATTCTACTCCCTGCCACTGGCCACTATGCCTGTTAAAAGCTGACATGGCTTCGGAAAGCAATTAGACRAATTAATGGAAGAAAGTTCCACTGAGGACTATTAAACACAAAGAGAGAAGCTGTGGCTTGGGCAGCTCCAGAGCCACATATGCCGGCAGGCTGGGAGAACACACCTGGAAAGTGTGGCTTGTTGCACTCAGGTTCTTCTGAAGACATCCAGATGTCATCCTGCCCAGCTGATGGGTTGTCATCTCCTTTCTTCTCTTTCCAGGTTCAGCACAATGAGTTGGCATTCTGGGCATTAGCAGCGTGAGGAGAACAGGACGGGTGCTGCCCTGCTCACCCCTCACCCCTCACTCATTCTCCTTGGGGAGACGGGTGCTGGCGTCCCTGCCCTGCCCTTCCACCCCTTGCTCCCCGCTCGCCATAGAGGGGACTGGCCCGTTATGGCTGGGGACAGGCTCCCACGCAAGGTGATGGACCCCAAGAAGCTGGCCAGCCTCCTGAGGAACGGAGCAGAGGGCACCCTGGTCATCGACAGCCGCTCCTTCGTGGAGTACAACTCCTGGCACGTCCTCAGCTCTGTCAACATCTGCTGCTCCAAGCTCGTCAAGAGAAGGCTCCAGCAGGACAAAGTCTCCATCACGGAGCTCATCCAGCCTGCCTCCAAGATGAAGGTAAGGGATCTGACCCTCGCCTTTCCTGGTGGATGTTTACACCCTCTTCTCTTGTGGGATGCAGACTGCCCTAAGGGGTAGGAATACATTGATCCTTCTCTCCATCCTTTAACCCCAGTATCTGCCAGCATTTCTTTGACACCCTTTGAAGAGGTGGAGTCTGAGCTCATTTGGTCCCCGGGGCCACAGGGCTGTCCTCGGGGACCTGTTCCTTGCCCCCACCCCACTGACGTGGATCCCTGCTCCAGGAGCCTTCCCCAAGCAAGTCTAACAGGTATATCAGCCTTAGGACTTGTCTTACACCAGCAAACAACCCCCCAAAGCCTTCCTGGAGCTGTAAGCTTAATCCCCTGCTAAAAACTCTTCCCCTCCCCTCTGTCATCTCTAACTCCATTCAGGGACATGTAATCCTCCTCCCCTGTGACGCCAGAAGCTCTTATCCGGTGTCATGGCATATTATCTCTCCCAGGCTCCTCTCTCTATCGCTYCTGGTTAAATAATAGAGGTGGCTCTGAGCCACGGAGCCGGGCTGGAGCCCCGGTCAGAGCAGTGCCGGGTGTCCCTGTGGAGCCGTGGGCTGGCTCCTGCTCTCCGCTGAGGTGCTGTCAGAGGGCTGTGCCGCTGGGTGTCGAGATGCTSCYCGAGGGGCTGCACCGCTGGATCCCSCAGCGGCCGCGGAACGAGCCCAAGGGTGGCTCGCCATCAGAAAGGTGGCTCGCCATCACARCCCGCCCTCCTGCCGGTTTGCTCCCACCGTTCCCCCACTCCCGCCTTGTAATTTTATGGCAAAGCGAGGGTAATTCAGGCGATTAATCAAATGCTGGGCCCAGCTGGAGCCATCTGCATCGTGTCCCCCCGCCACCCCGAGAAGCCACCGCTGCCCGCATTGGTTGCCGGTGACATCACCCCGCGGGATCAAGGGGACTGGCGGTGCGGGGGGGCCGGCCTCGCGCCAATCTGCTTCGGTGATGCTCTGGGCTGGGCGATTTGGAGGGGATTGCGGAGACTGATTCCTGAACGGCTTTAGCTGCTCTTAAATCCCCTGGAGAATAAAGCAGAATAATCAGTTTTTCGCAAGCTCCGAGGAGAGCGGAGCGGCCGCCCTCCTCCCGGCGAGGGTCATCTCTGCAGTGGCCGTTGTCACGTGGAGCGGCAGCAGCCGCAGCAGAAAAAGCGATGCGCCAGGGGGAGGAGGTAGAGGAGGGTGAGAGGGAAGGGGGAAGCATGGAAGAGTTAACATCATCTGATGCCATCCGCCTGCAAACCTGCAGCTCGCCAGCTGCAGCGGAGCAGTGGGCTCCCAAAGGTGCCGGCTGGTCCTTCYTGGCATCCCCTGGTCTGTCCCCATTGAAGGAACGTAGAAGGATCGTTTTCTCCCTGCTCCTGCATGATTGCATAATGGTCCACGTACTGGCTGGGGACATGATTATAACCAGGGATGCTAGGGGAAGGGAAGAGAGGCGTTGATTCGTCTTTAATTCTTTTCTGCTTTGCTTTTGGATACGGCTGAAATCCCTCCTAGCACGTCCATGGGCAGGCATGTCCCCACTGCTGCTGCTCTGCACGGCCCCTGCCACGCCCACCGCTTGCTGGCTCTCCCAACACACTCAGCCCAGGAATTAATTAAGCTTCAGGACACCCTTAACCTTGAGAGGTTAAGCTACTTGTCCTGGGAAGCTGGAGTGGGGGGGATTGAGGGAGATCACTGCCGTATTCTCGTCTGCCATAAAGCAGGGGAGGTGGCTGTGTCTCGGGTTGTCCAAGCCTTTCTTCTATGCATGCACTTGTGTGTTTGCATTTTGGGGTGATGAACTCTCTTCCTCATCCMTGCCTCCCATTTCAGTCACTCGGCTCATGACTGTATTTTGGGACCCCCAGAAATCAATATGGTCTGCTGCCTCGAGGTGCACATATCCTCAGAAGGGGATGCTGAAAGCTGGTTTAGAGCTCCAATCCCATGTTATTTCCCTACCTCCACTGCCACCGCTGGTCAACACCCCTAGCACTGCTCTGTTTCTGGCTCCCCGCACCGGGGCTGGGGGGCGGGGGGCACGGCTGGTGTGGGGAGCAGATGGCAGGAAGGGTGACATCAGTAGCRCGATTGTCCGGCCCCATTATTCCTCCTGACAGACCTCCCGCCCTCCTCCTGTTTCCTGCTCCCGGCCGGCCAGGGCTGCCGAGACAAAGGCGGCTGGCAGCGACGCGGGGCTGCCCGGGCAGCCAAAGGGCAGCCCCGAGCCCCCGCCTCGTCCCACTGCTCCTCGCTTCCAGCAAAGAGCTCATCCCACTCCGGTGGTTCCAAGGGTGATGTTCACCTTTTGGGGAAGGAGGCGGGGGTTGATRCAATGCAAAGCATTTGGGCAAACCCCACCTGGCCGCCAGCTCCTCTGCTCCTGCCTGTGTGGAGATGTAGGACGGGGTGGGAGAATTTGTCTAACTCTCTTTTCCCAGTGCTTACTCTCCTCTTTTCCATGTTGCTGTTAAGGAGGGTAGTACCATTGACAGTGTTTCTGGGGGCTACACTTTGGAGCAATGCTGTGGGATAACAGCAGCTGCTGGTGCTTTTTGGTGTAAGGAGAGGAAAGGACCATTAGGGATAAAAGAAGAAATGGAGACTTTAAGATCCCTTTCTTTCTTTCAATTAAATATGCCTATGATCCTATAATTGTGGCAGCTATATCTGCCATAGCTAAGTCACTGCTTCCCAAGCTCTGGTGTGGACCATCTTCTTGTGGTGCCTGATTTGGGAAAAGCTGCAGCAGCAATTCCTCTCACAGTAGTTTCCCTCCCCACAAAAATGGTACCAACATAACTGCTCTGGTTGGTTTTGAACCCTCCTCCCAGAGCTGACAATAATAAATTCTCACAATAATAAATTCTGATAACAAGGGGAATAATTCAGCTCCTCAGTGCAGTTTGGGAGGCAGAGGTTATGGGAAATTCCTGCTTGGGGTTTTCACGAGCATTTCTTTASGGAAATGTTGAAAATTTTACTTCTTCAAGATCCCCCTGGAAAGTCCACCTCTCAACCACTTCTTGATTCCTGAAATGGAGCAATCTCCAGAGTACCTATAGCCATGCTTTGAGGCAAGACAAGGGTCTCTTCAGATTTTGGGAATATTTATTTATTTGCATTAGGAGCTTGGCTCTGCAAGCAGCTGTTTTGCTTGAAGGAAAGCCGGGGCTTATTTTTGAGCTGTGTGCCTGGCTGCTCTTTATGTTGATGGAAGCCCTGTTATTTCAGTGAGGTGATTCACTGTGTTTTGAAACAATACGTGACTGAGATGTCAGTAGTAATTGAGATAATAATAATAGCCCACTCTTATCGTAGCCTGGATCACCCGYGGAGCATCATTACCCCAGCTGCCAAACAGGGATGGAGCTGGGACCCAAGCTCTGTCAAACCACCCAGTGCTGGGGACTAATGTCCCTAGGGGAGTTACCTCCAGAGCTGGGGACGAGGATGGGGAGCACAGGGCTTGGTACAAGGGTGATGAATGGATGTTCTCAGCTGGTGTTTGGTTGGCCAGGGGGTCCTTGCTCCAGGCTGGTCATACCCCTCCAGCCAAGATTTTGGCAGGGAAGAAGTTTGTTCTTTGGGATTTAACTCTGGGGCACATCCAGCAGCTTTTCAATGGCATGCATGGGTTCACAAGCCCCACTCAACATCTGCTTGGAGCCAGAAGACTTGCTACATCTTGGCCGTGCTGTCCCTTGCTGGCTGGATGTGGGAACCCTGTCTGGAGGGTGATGCCTGGGTTACTTCACAGTCTAGGGGTGACAGCAACCCCTGTGGAAGTGTTATTTCTCAGAAGGATACCKCTGTTGTCAGCTGTGTCCCTGTCCTATGAGTGCACCTGGCAGAAGCAGGAATCTAGTATGGAGCATCCCTTCAGCTTTGCCCTCCTCTTCTGCCCCAGTTAGTTTTTATCCTCTCTGTGGATAAAAGAGAGATGGGGCAAATCAGGAMGGCATGAGATTAAGGAAGACCCATGTACTTGGTTAAACATCTCTGTCTTAATTTCCCTTTGTGGTGAGGAGCCAGGATGCCCRTTCAGGCTCCTTGTGTGCTCCATGAGGGCTCCTCAGGACCATCCTGCAGGTATCCTCACCCCAGTAAGCTGGGTATTTATTTTCTGCAGCCGGGCCATGTGAGGCCAATGCTTGTTTGGCATTTACATTGAGTGAAACCTTATAACTTTAATAAGATATAAACCGTGTCGCACRTCTCTGCCGTCGCTCAGCAACCCTGCAGTAATGGCCCAAACAAAGCCTTCCCATGCAGAGGGAACACTAAATCCTAATGTGGGATAACTCTGCTCASCCAGAGCTGGTATCTCTCCTGCAGCCGCACCATCTTGGACTGTGCATCTGAGATGAGCCCCTGCCCCACCGCAGAGTGCTCCCTGCCTTACCATGCATTTGGAGGAGATGTTTTTGCTGGCATGGGGCTTCAGGCTGAGAACTGGATCTTCGGGATGTCCTAGGGAACCTTGAAGGTCTAGGTGGCTGCTAAGGATTGATAGGTTCCTAGTTCCAAACAGGCTTGTCAGCCACCATGTTTCCCTCCAGCTGTTCTTGGATGACCTCCCACAAAAGTCCTGCTTCATCATTGGCTGAGGAAAAAATGCTGGGGTAGGTCCTCATCTGGCTTATCCCAGGTGGCTTCAGTCAATTTTCAGTGTCTTATTTTAGAATTCCCATGTCCTTTTCTCTTCCCTCTTATCCTGCCCTTTCATCCATCCTGCTGAGCCGTGGGGCCAGTTTTGCCTTCCAGTCCCYGGTGCCAGGCTGGGGACAGGTGAGTCCTTTGAGTTCCGCCTTTGTCGTGCAGAGCTGCGTGTGGTGCCCGGACGGGGATTTCTGTTGGTGCGGGGCTGTCCTTCCACTGCGGCTCAGAGATGTGATGAGCTCAGCTAAATTGCTGCTCCCTGCAGTTTTATTTGGATGGTGCTCACGTTGCTGAGGAGGGAAGCACCTGCAGCAGGGTGCGAAAGCGGCATTGATAGTGACAGCAACCCTAAGCGAATCTGCTCTGGTGGTGAGATAGGGCTTGGCAGTGAGACAGCAAAAGCAGGCGTGTGTCCATGAGTGTCCATGTTCAAGTGGTCACCTAAAGACATTTTGGAGAGGGCTTGGCACAGGGTGGCCAATGGGCAGCTCCAGCACCAGCTGGAGAAGAGAGCGGCTTGCACACATTCCCTCTTCCCTGCTTGCCACTGCCTCCCACTCCTCCCGTGATGGGATGGATGTGCCTTACCCTGCCAGCTGGGAGAGCAGGCACTCTCAAGGCAGGCATGTGCCACACACTCAGCTGTTTAGGTGATGAGCTTAGCTGTGCCTCTGAGAGGATTTTTGTCTTCTTTTATTGCAGAGACCTTCAGGTAGATGTGGGAATGTCTGTCTGTGCTTGAGTGTTCTCATTGCAATTCAGTCGTCACCAGGCATGGGGGGACTCCTCCCTGCAGACATCTGCCTGCCTTGAGTTATCCTACCATCTCAGTTGTCCCAGAGGTCCTGTTGTGGTGGCCAGCAAGGCTGGATGCTGTTTGTGGCATGTAAAATCATGTGAAAGCAGCCCAGGAGCTCCTTTACTCCTCCCCATTTTATCCCTGCAATGTGCAGGCTCCAGCATACATTACAAAAGGAAGAAAGGGCATCACTCTGAACATCCACCAAGCAAAAGAAGAGGTTTTCTCTCTCCTTCAGCTCTTAGRGGTGGTCTGCAGTTTTGGGTTGAGGCACAGTGCCTATAGAGGTGTTACTGTGCTGGGCTTGGTGTCTCTAGGTTGAGCTCTGAAGAGGSCTCAAGGGCTTTGCTGGGAGCACCCCTGCCTACAGAACCACCCCTAAATCCCTGTGGCACCAGACTGGCTCAACAGGAGTATCCAAGGGCAAAAGTTGACTGGGGAGGAGGTGATTTCTGGGATGCAGTTAAGTAACAGCAAGCTGAGGGTGGGCAGTGGGGAGGAGTGACCCTATTTTGGGTATGATGCTTTAAAGCACTCCCAGTTGGTGGGGCTGCTCCAGTGGGCACTTCTACTGACACATTTGCTTGTAGCCATGGAGCAGAGTCTCAGCTTGCTGGGCACTTCACTAAGTGCTCAAAACGAGCTTGTGAAAATTGTGTGGAGCTAGAATTTCCTGCTTGTGTGACCACCAAATTCAGCTTTGCTTCCCATAGTGGTGTAGACAGCAGCATCCCCAGTGCTCAGCCTATTTCTCTGATGCCTGTTTTTTGCCTCTCCCTTGCAGGTGGAGGCAGAGGACCATCAGGACGTGGTGGTCTATGACCAGAGCACGCGGGACGTGACCGGCTTGGCTGCTGACAGCTTCCTCTCCATCCTCCTGGGCAAGCTGGACAGCTGTTTCCACAGTGTCTCCATCCTCACAGGTAGGAGCCCTGGGTTATCTCTTCACCTGAYACTCATGCCCTTGGCCTGGAGTGATGGAGCTGTGGCCATCCATGTGCACGTGCACCCGCTTTTCTGCCACCAGTGGCTGTGGTGGGGGAAGGGAGCTCTGCATGTGGGCTGAGGAGGCTCAGCCCACACTAGAATCACTGGGTCCTCCCCTGCCTTTGTTCTTTGCACTGTCCATCTCCCCACTGCTGCACCCACCAGCCAGGGTGAATGAAAGAGGAGGGTACAAAAAGGTTGTGGTGGCACGGATCCAGCCATCCATAAGCTGCCCTTTGTCCTCCCATCCCTGTGTTGCTTCATCCCTGGTGAATGTGCCAAGGACCAGACCTGGTTCAGGCTCCCTGCTCCCTCTTGCTGCTGTTAAAGGGAGGGCAGGAGAAGAAATCCATGGATGTATTGGAAAGGAGAAGGATGGCAGGGGCAGAGGGTCATCATTGAGTGAGTCAAGGTCTGCTGGAGATGATGCTCTCCAGGCACAAGTGAGCAGGCAGGAGGAGGCATGTGCTGCTGTAATTTACGGCCCTTGGGCCGTGCAAAATGTGARACAGGTGTCTGATGAATGAAAAGCTCCAACCCAGCAGAGAGGAGAAGAGAGAGACAGTGAACTGCCTCAGGGAGAGCTGAAGCTGCCTTTAATTCCCCATCAYTGGGACAGCCCCATCTGCCCTGATGGCTGCCTACCTCTGAGCTTTCTTCCCATGAAGGGTTGGGCAGGCACTGTCCCATGCAGCCCCTCAGCCCCACTGAGCTCAGCCACACTCTTCAACAGTGCCAGAAGCACAGAGATGGGAATCACCTCTGTCCCTCAAGCCTGTCCTCATCCTGTGGCAATTGGATACTGCTTTGGGGTTGAGGCGGAGGGTAATGACCTCTGTGCCCTGGAGCACCACAGGGATAGAGGGAACTGCCATACCCGCAGAGTGACMGACCCTGGGAAGGGCTGATTGTGAGGGGGAAGGTGGCACAAGCAAGTGGCATTCAGGGAGCCCTGCTTGTGCTCGGCAGGGTAAGTGCTGTTRTATTAGAGCAGCTGCATTGTGATGTGAACAGAGCAGAGAAACAGCGGGATTAAACACCCCCAGTTCAAACAACAAAAGCAAGCAGGGACTACATGAAATCACTTTAAAGCTAACTATTGTGGCCTGGGTTGCAGGAGCACTGCAGAGGCCAGTGCTGGAGGATGCCTCCCTGAGCTTGCTGTGTCAGCCCCTGGCCTGCCTCAGTAGCTGTGCCTGCTGTTCTCAGGTCACCATGGCATAAACAAGGGCACAGCTTAGTGCATGGYGCAGGAGAAGGAAAAGGTGGATTCGGTTGCATCTGGGAAGGAACCTGCTTAGTCATGGGGATGGGTGAGGAAACAGCCTTGGCTGTGTGATCCTGCCATCCCCTAACCCATACCACTTTCCCAGGGTTGGGTGAGGAGCAGTGCTGTGTGCTGGCTGCAAACCCCTGCCCCTCTGAGTCCTCCTGGAGCCAGGACAGAGCTGGGTCCTGAGGGGGGACCTGAAAGCCCCAGAGCCTTTTCCTGCCAGATGAGGCAAGTGGACACTTGGGGCAGCTTTGTAGTCCCAGTGTCCCCCAGCTGCATGCAAAGCATTCACCAGCAGCATGCCACCCCCTCAGCCATCAGCACTGCCACCACCAAACCCCCTGCCAGCAAACCTGCTGTCTCCCCCATGGGCACACATTCTCCATCATCAGGGCAGCCATTTCCATCCCCCTGGGCTGCAGGAGCCCAGGGCCCCAAGCAAAAGKGTGGCTGTGCTAGGCACCAAGCAAAGCTCAAACCTCCCGAATTAAAAGCACAGCAGGGGCTTAGCCTGAACGCAGGCCACCAGCAGGTGGAAAAAACTGGAACTGAAATGTAGAACACTGGGTCATGGCAGCGGTGTTTCACATGGAAATCATGACTGGAATGGCTCTGCAGAGTGTCCAAGGGAAGCTGGGCACACTTGCTGACAGGCACAGCTTCCTCCTGCCAGCAGTGAGGGCAGCAGTGGGGTGGTGTAGAGGCAACTCTGGAGTGCTTRGGGGGTCTGGGGCAGAGTGTATGACTGGGCCTGGTTCTGAACCCTTGCCCTTGTGGGGTTTAACCCCTCACTGTGTCACTCTGGGCTCAAGCACCTTGTCCTGCACCAACCCATTTTTGTGTCTCAGAAGAGGTGCTGGGTTCTCCTTGGAGATAGATGCCTTGTTGCCCCGGCRGGTTGGCAAGGGCTGCTGAAATCAGCCTGTCCCTCAATGGATGCCATTACCCCAGGGAGCTCTGTCCTAAGGGTCCCCAGTTCTGTGGGGCAGCCCTACACAGCCCCTCAGCCTCAGCAGATGCTGGGGTCCATGCCTCTGTGTCCCCATATCTCAGTGCAAACACCAGGCTTGGCTGTTCTTGCTCACCTCCAGGCCATCGACCTTCTGACCTTTGCAGCAGCTGATGGAGGCTGATGGGTGAGGGCAGGGGATCTGGGGATGGCAGGACTGGTGCCAGGGACCCCTTACGGGTTAACAGTGCAGAAGCAGCAATTCCAGTGGCTGGCAAGGAAGAATCTGAGTCAATTATTCCCAGTCTTGGAAATCATTGGCTTCTCTTCTTTTTTCTTTTTTTTTTTTTTTTTTTTTTTTTTTAATTGTGTAAGTATAAATAGTGCTGCTTGCTGCCCTCCATCCGTGGGAGCAGAAAGACTGTTGATTTATATGGCTTTCCTGACATCACATGAAGTGGTGGAAAACTGAATGGAGCCAACATTTTTCCTGCATTACGTAATGCCCCCTCCCTCCCAGCCCAGCTCTGCTATTCCTGCAGGAGCCTGACTGTTCTTTAACCTTTGTTTACTTCAGCACAAACCCTTGCTTTTTGCTTTTTTTTTGGCTTTTTTWTTTTAACTTTGCTATGTTTTCCCCCCTTTATTCCCCTTGCAATCAGCCGCTTGGTTTTTATTAACAGGCATTATCTGCTTATGAAGCAGCAGCATCAGTCTGGCTCCACTGCTCCCCGATGGCTCCCATGTGCCAGCTCTGGTATCGGAGCCTGTCCAGAGCTGTGTGTGGTKCTGAGCTGGTGGGTGCTGAGCTTCATCAGCTCCTCTCCCCTGGTCAAGCTGCAGTGGACAGTGTGGAGATTTTCTTTTACTCCTATTCAGTGGCTAAAAGTGACAGCTGAGGGCTTAGGATGCTGGTCCATTTGATGCTCAGTCACCCATCCTGTCCCTGTTTCTGGTCCTTCAGCTGAGTGCTGGGCTTCTCTCTCCCGTGCCTGAAGCTGTGTGCAGCTGGAGATAAATCCAGGATGGCAGTGTGGCCAGCGGTGGTGGCCTCACAGTCTGGGCTGCAGGGCTTGGGACCATCCTTGCACAACATAGGCTCTTTTTGCTGTGGTTCCGTGTGCTGGGACAGCTTTACCGCTGTGATATCATGCTCCGACCTGAAACAGGCCCCTCAATTGCTTTCTGAACTCGAGTCATGAGCTTTTCATCTGGCTCGGGAGCGCATGTGAGATCATCTTCAGCGCCCCCCTCCCCCCGCTTTTGTACCAATTCTTCAAGGAATGTTTAAATTTTCCAGTCCTGTTCTTTCTAAATTTGGAGCGTCTGTTTACTCCCAGGATTCGGAAAGAATGTAACAATATCATCAGCGACAAATCCCTCCCAGCCCTTCACGCGCCATCCTCCTGAGTGAGCAGGCTGGCCATGACCCAGGCCTCTCCAGCCCAGCGGTGCCAYGGCCATCCGGCACCACTGCCGAGAGCTGTCATTGCATGGCTGCAGTGATCTCTAGGGTGCTGAGATCTGGGGGATTTTGGGGAAATCTACCAAAGACAGGTGACTTTGCCGTGGGCAAAATGAGGTAGTGAAAAAGGAAAGGGGATTTCCATTGCAGGAGCTGTCTTGGGCTGCCCAGGCATGAGTGGGTTCAGCACTGAAGCACTGGCTGGAATTATTTTAGACACAAGGACTCAGAGACAGATGATTTTAATAAAAGGAGAAAAAAAAAAAAACCACTTCCTTTTTTTTTCTGTATAGGGATAGTCCTAAAAAGAGGTTAAACATCAGGGCAACTRAATGTGATTTTGCTTATCCTTAGCTGAAAATTCTATAGTGCTTTCTTGTGTCATGTAAGTGAGAAGCCACATGCCAGCCGCACAACTCCCTTGTTGCCTGCTCCTCTTGGAACGTGTTGGGGCTGGGGCTGTTTTGGAGGAGAAGGTGAATGAAAAAAGTCAAGCTAGGCAGGTGCAAAAGCAGTGCACAGGCAGGGCAGAGCAGAGGGAACTTGCCTTGAGTCCAGRTCCCAGAGGCTGGAGACAGTATGTGCATCCTAAAGGCAGGAAAAATACAAATGAATCAGCAATGCTTGTCATGGCATATGCTGAAGATGAAAGCTTAGCATGGTCCAGAACCAGGACTGAGGAGTCTTTACAAACCCAATGTAAGAAAAAAAAAAGAAAAAACTAAAACCTAAGAAAGAAAATACCCCAAATACCCACACTTCGGTTACAGAATCACAGAATATTCTGAGTKGGAAGGGACCTACAAGGATCATCAAGTCCGACTCTTAAGTGAATGATCCATGCAGGGGTCAAAGCCTCAGATTCACATCCWTGGGTGTCATTAGCACCATGCTCCAACCAGGTGAATGAACCTCAGGGTTCATCAGCCACAAGCTGTCTGATGGGAGTGGGGAGGCAGGACCTGACTGTGGCTGATGATTTGATGGTCACGTTCCTCATTACTGCTCTGCACACCATGATGATTTCACTTGTGGAGTTTGGGGTGTGAGCRTGTCTGCTAGGGACATAGCATGTGCAGACATCAGTGTGTCCACTAGCTGGTGGATTTTGTTCCCCGACTCCATCAGAGCCTCAGCTCAATACATGGGCCTGAAGGTGCCCTTGTACATCAAATATTAAGGCTATTTCAGGCACCCTCAGGCTGCAATGTGTAAGAGCACCCGTGGACTTACTTGTATGAACCCATCA